TCCAGGATGAATTCGGACTTAAGACTGCATTTGTCGTCTTCCGATCGGATTTTAGATTGCTGAGTGCTGCCAAACAGCCTCAAGGTTCCCATTAAATGTGCTCATATATTTTTAAATTTAATTAAATGTTTATATATACCAAAGCACACAATTTTTTAATAGCTGGAAAACTAAAAAATGTCTCTGTACTACAGTGTTATTACTGTACCTGTACATGTAGATGTTAGTAATTACACATAATGAGGGTTACGGGAGGAGTGATGATAGATCAAAAGCGTGAGCACATAAAAAAGGTTGAGAAATGTTGCTATATTTAATAGTTAACCCTTCTTTTATTCATTTCGGGATAAATTTTCTAGTAAAGTCTTTAGAATAACTGCTGTTTAAATATAATTTTCAGTTTTCGAAATTGTTTTATTTGCTGCACAGCTTCAAGAATGATCAATCTTTTGAATCAAATTTACCAGTTTAAACCTTCCATTGAATATCAGTAGATTTAATATTACGTCAAATATAACTATATATTCAGTTAAAAAATTTCTGTGAATATTTGAAAGCAACATCATTAGTTTTATTCTATTATTTCAAAACTTTCCCTGCATTAAACTTAACATTTTATCAAATTTTTAAATATGACTTGAATAAAAGGCACTTAGTACCAAAACAAAAGATGGTATTTCAATGTTGTGGCACTATTCGTACAGATAATTCAGCCTTTTCTTTATTGAGCAATATGTAAGTTTTTAGAGTAGATGTCTACTTTAGAACTTCGTATAGCCAGTTCTTACCTCCGCCAAACTATATGCATATATATATGGCCATTAAAATTGTACCACCATGAAGGAATGATCTGACGAATTCAAAATCACATGAAAGGAAGAAGAAGTTGGGATAAGCAAATGATTAGTATTTCAGCCCATTTAGACGAGGGAGAGACGAGAGAGAAACGACATATGAAGCACTGTATAAAAGAAAAGTTGTGTAGTGGATTTCTCATCTTTCATGGTTAGCGATAACCACAATTTTCCTACATAAGCTTGGGCCCACCAGCGGCCGAGCGGTAAAGTCGCTGAACACTGGTAGTTCGGTCCGAGGTTCGAATCCCGCGAACGGGCTGGCTGCATGGGCGTTCGTGGTTTTCCCCGTGTGTAACGTGTATACGAGCCAGTTTCCCTTAGAAAGTCCTCCACGAAGGCATCCCTCCCCTTAGGCAGATAGCCCTCGAGGCTTTGCCATAATCACACACACACCCTACATAAGCTTAAATGTACTTTCGCATCTGCTATGTACAAAATCTCAGCTGAATAGTTTATGGCATGATTTTGACTTCATCCTCATCACTCATTTAATGCAAAGCAAATGGTTGTAAATATTGTGTATATAGTCTTCCAGTTTATGAGAAAAATTTGTATTTTATGTGTTATATCTTGTCTACAGGACTCACTTAGGCATTTCTGTCTCTGCATCGCTACATCGCTACATGAAGCAACCAAATGAAGATAGCCGGTAAAATAAGTAAATAAATGAAAACACAACATACAAATAGAGTAAACAAAACAATTTAAATGTGTAAACTATTCGTACCAATGATTAGTAGTATTTTGAAACGTAATGAACCTTTTTAAATAGTTCATCGCAATTTACATTACACGTGAAAGATATTTTCCTTTGGAAAATCTTCCGTAGAGGTATCCCTTCCTTTCATGAATTTTGCTGCATTCAATTAAATGAACATATAAACTTTCAGAGTTTGTTCTTTTATTGACCGATAAAATTGTCGCAAAATACTCTAAATCTGTTGCATTCTCTACATATATGCTAAAGAAAATTAATAAAATAAGCTCTCAGAGGTAAAATAAGCTAGTACACAAAGAGAATTCTTCGAAAATAATATAATTAAGTGAGATTACTGAAACCTAATTCGAATAAATTAAGTTTAAAATGACAAGATATTTGCGAATTATGTAATGTTTACAAAATACAATAATATGTTTGAAATAAAATTGGAGCCTGAAAGTTGAAATATATGAAAAATAAAGTTAATTTATCTTCCTAAATATCGGGACCAAGCTAGATTTGTATTTTCCTAAACCTTAATCTACAGGAATTTGCATTATAAAATAATTTTAAATTTTAAAATTGAATCAGTAATAAATTAAATTTATTATACTACTAAAACTAAGTGAACAACGTTTCCACTGATTCCCATTCTAAGCCAAAATATAAGACACATCATTAGATCGTATAGTGTATGTTACATTTTGGCTAGTACCGGTGGGGCAAATAAAAGTGGCCCAGAGAAGAGTTACTCTGTTACTTTCATTTGCCCCACCCTATATTAATGCATGTGCATGTATATGTATATTAAATTCAAAACATAATCAAAGTAAATTTAAATATCATATTCAATTCTGGAACAATAAAATATAATAAAAAATTTTGCAAATGCGAGAATTTAACTAGAAATAAACAGCTGTTCTAGAATTCCCGACAAAACAACGCTGTGCAAATACAAAATTCGTACAAAAATGCCACAAGCGATAGATAAAAGCAAAAATAAGAAAGGTAAATGGATTTTACATCTTTGGGTACATCTTCGTCAGAGGGTTGGTTCAATGAGAGATGTAAAAGAAAATAGCTTGTCCCTGAATTGGCAGATGAAAGAATATGTGAAATTCATCTTAAATCAGAAAAAATAATCATTATAAATTAAATATATAATATCCATTTATCAATCCAACTCATACAGACTTCAATGGAGCAGGAACCAGGAAGGAGGATGTTGGTGGCGTCATAGATGCATAATGGAGAAAGAAAACCTGTAGACATGGCGCAGACAAGACATAATTTATTGCTAGCCTTCTTGAGATACGCATTTTCAATCACATATCATCATGGATGAGATACGCACTCCACAGTTTTATATAGCTAAAGCCAAAGATTTCTTTAATCTGATTGGAGAAAAGGTATCCGCATTGCTGTACTTCCACAAGATGGCATGATGCGCATTAATGTTGAGTTATTATAAACAATTAGTAATTTTAGGACAGGAAGGGGCCCTACCAGATTAAAATGAGTAATAAAAAGAATTATTGCCGAATTGAAGTCATTAACTTTCTTGCTTATTTATATCTTACACTCACACATTCATATATATATATGAATCTTACACTCACACATTCATATATTCATATATATATTACCACTAAAGTGCACATTCATATATATGTTACCACTAAAGTCGTTAATGTGCACATTATCTAGCTAATTTTCAGATTAACTGATTTGCTCCGTTAAAGTACGGAATCAAGAATTTTCCGTATTTTACCTAGGTAAGGTGCACATTAACGGCTTCCGTATCGTTAAAGTTCAAAAGTTTGTTTCTCTCATTTCCTTTCCTTCACCCTCCACTTTGCACATTGCCTACTAGGCGCTCGTTAAACTGAAAATAAGATCTTTGCTGGAACAACGGCAGCGCTTTTGTACGCTTAAATTAGCATAATGTTATTTAGTTATTTTTAATTATCTAAAAAATTAATTTTATTTATTATAAAAAATTAAATTTATTATCTAAAAAAGCAAGTTAATACAATCAAACAATCGGCAAATTAGTTGATAGAAAATCATCAATCAGTTAAAGAACTATACAAAGAATAAACTGTTTAAAATATTATTAGAATTAAGGAATGGATTTGCATAACATATAATAAAATTGGACTCATTTATTAGTGAAAAATTGGTGACTCTTTGAATCGCATAACAGTTGGATTTTGGGACAAGCACACCTATTTGTCGTACGTTTAGATGTGCAATAGCATTTTCTAAAACCCTGCTCAATCAACAATTTAAAAGTGTAAGCAGCGACTGTTTTAAGCGTAATAGAAATGCTGATATTTTTCCAGCAAAGATGTTATTTTCACTTTAAAGAGTGTTTAGTAGGTAATGTGCTGTTTATCTAGGTAATTTGCAGATTACACAGGTAATTTGAGAAATGAAACAATTTTTCGCTCTTTAACGGATCAATTATTAACAAGATGTAAATAATATATATATATTAAATTCAAAACATAATCCAATAAATTAAGTGTGTTTACTCTGCTAATATAAACAATTCCAGCTATTTGTGGTACAAGTACTTGTGGTGTTTTACGCTCTAGTAAACATATTTAACCTGAAACGGCCAAGAAAAATAGCAACAAAAATGAAAAGTAAGTAATGGAAATTTAGTTTTTTAGAATAGATCTTAATTTTCCTTTTCCCAGAAGGAAATCCATTTATCTACTCTGAGAGCCTGACAATATAGTAAGGAATCTTTCCCCTGACATATGCATTTAAAAATGTAAATATGGTTTATTATGAAATTTTGAGAAAAAGAATTTATGTAAAAAAATAGAGTCATTACTTTCGAAATCAATTATTTCTATTCTATTTAAGAGCTTATAGATATTTATTATTTTTAAGTTTACTAGCAGAATAGCTACTTCTTTTGATAGAACAGTTTTATTATTTTGTTAAAATAGAAATGAGTGCAGAAACAAATTTAAATCAAACACAGACTTAAAAGCATTTATAAAGCCCTTTCCTTTTTATTTTTTCCCTTATTTTCGTTATTGCTTAGCAAGGGATATATTGTGTTTCACCTGTATGGAACGGGAGAATAAATGATAGCAGTAGCATTATTTTCTAGTACCACAATAGGACAATAAAGAGGCAAAATTCGCAGTTATATTGCATGGTAGTCAAATAAAATATAGCAACTTCTAAGAGTATTTTTAAAAAATTAATTTTCAAAATCAAATAAAAAATATTTTTTTATTTAATTTAAACTAAAGAGCAAGTTAATATTCAAATAATAAAAGCAATACCAGTATCTTAGATATTTTAAATTTTGCGCGTCTTTGGCGAACATTTGGCGACATGAAATAACACCACTATCTCTCTTAACGGGGTCTTGATTGAGCACAAAGAACTCGGTGGCACAGTCAGATCTACGTACACCGGGGGCAACTCTCGAGCATTCCCGACTCGTTTAAGCAATGTTCCAAAGTTCCGTGGGAACAGCTGAGCTGGGACTCCGCGCTCTAGAATCTCACTGTTGCATAAGCCTATTGGCAACAGCAGTTACAAGTTAGCAACCTTTTACATGCTTGATGTGCGAGTGACGAATGACAGATACGTGGGGCAATGTCATGTCGACAGCCCGCAGAAGATCAAATCCTCTGTTTTTACTGTCTGTTGAAATTATTTACCGCCAATTCATGCCTTTTATTTGGTTTATCATGGCTTTATTCATCGCAGTGGGGGCGCACAGGTAATTTATGCTTAAACTTATGAGCTTGAAATGCATGCTGGTCTCGATTTCATTCGTTTTCATGTAAAAATTATGTTTTTCAATAGTTTAGAATAATTTGTTTTCATTTCATAAATGGCAATAATATAGATTGGTGATATGATTCTCCTACATGGTTATGTCTAACACTAAGTCAAATCATTATAACAGTATCTATATCATAAAAAGCAAGAATCCTCATATATAATCAATTCAAACTTTTATTTTTATGAGTTCCACATATTTACACTTTTCTAGGTCATTTTTAATTACATACAACACTAGAGTCTTGCTGAATGAGCTAGAACATTTCTGTATGTTCGAAGTGGTCCTCAAGCACTTTAAATTTTAAATTAAATTCAAAATTGTTGAATGAGAACAAGCAAAAGTGAATGAATAGAGAAAATGTAAAGTTAAATATATCAGGAAATGAATGCTAAAAATGCTAAAATATTTTGTAAGAAGAGTTTTTTATACACGTAAATATTTTCTTACTTAATACTCCGTCTCTCCAACAGCTACAGCTTCTTAAGTGGAGAATTATATGTCTTTAAAACCTTCTTTTTTTTTTTTAAATTTAAGAACTATAAGTTTCTGCTTATAAAAAATTACCTTTCCGCAAACCCAGAAAAAAAAGTCTGTTTCTATTTTAAGTTACTTGACCTTGCATTATTATACTGTTATAATGTAAATGGTCTAAAAGTATTAAATTTAGCATAATATGAATGCTAAATAGTTACCGAAAGTAATAAACTCAAATCGCTCTGTAAATTTATTTTCTTTAACAATATTATCAGAATTTCATTATCTAAAATCACCATCAGAGGAGACCATAAATTGGCTGTTTCTACCATCCCTGAAAATTTGTGACGCATGCTTAATTTTCATGAGGTTTTAAGAAAACATTGAAGACTGTGCTTTCCTTCCATATAATTCTCTAGTGACTGACATATAATTATCCACTGAAGACTTCTAAATACCTTGTCATTAAAGGAAAAACATTTAGTTTGATTTAGAGTTTACTTACTTAAACATAATAGAATTTTCAAGAATGAAACAAGAATAACATGAGATTTTTAAAAATTAAATAAGCATTCTGTTAAAAAAGACTTATCCTTCTTCTGATTTCATTTCTATTTTATAATAGTGTTTATCGATTTAAAAAAGTGATTTGAAATGAGACTTAGAATATTTTGTAATTGTACAGTTATATAACATAAGTATTATGCAGTTTAACATAAGTATTAGGCAGTCTGTAAATCAACAGCTAGTTTATTTATTGAATGTTGAATTAATCTGGCATTTTCGATTAGTGAGATACGAATTAGCCTGTTTTGCCTTTGAAAGAACAGAATACTTATTTCGAAATTTTGTGAACTGGTGTCAAATTATGATGTGGCGACAGTTAATACTTTCTTTACAAACATGATTCACAGACCTTTATTTTATTTTCTCATTTCATTTACCTAAAACTCATGTTCTCCTATTTATTTTAATTCTTATTGTTGTGTTTTTGATGATATAATTATTTTATGAGCTGCCTTTCATCTAATAATATGATCTCCTTCAAATTAATAATCTAAAAAAAGTCTTGTTACCATTTTGTTGGGAAAACGTAAATTTCTCTTTCCGAAATTTCTTTCTTGTTACTTTTCATAAAAAGTTCTCAGTTTTTAAACATTTCCTAAAGATTAAAATACAAAAAATTAAAAATAAAAGTATATTTTATTTCCTTTAAAACATATCACTTGCAATTGTCGTTATAATAAATATGGAAAAAGCATTTTAAGAAAAAATTTGAAGAATTGTTAAGGTAGGAAAGGGATATTTCGGGGGCTTGGGGATGAGAAGATATTGTGAAGAAATTAAAATCTCTGATATATTAGAAACTTCATCTATAAGAAAAAAAGGGAAAGCAAACGTTTCGAGAGGAATTTGTGCCTCTAAAGGAGGATTTTCCAAGGGTTTCCTAATTGGCTCTTTATGTTAAACTTAGGTGAAAACATTATTAGAATAATACATAATTAGAAAATCGCCTTCTTTCATCCGAATCTAAACCTAGGCATATTGTAAATTTAGCTACTTCACCTAGATTTTTTCATTCATTATCTTAATTAAGATTTAACCTGGTGAAGAAAATATTAGATAACTCCACTAAACAGGCTTTTACAAATTATACGCAACTAGTAGCCGAGTAATTATGATCGCTGGATACTGGGAGTTCAACACGGGTTCGATCTCAGAAGAACGGTGTAGCTGCATGATAGGTTTTCATAGTTTCCTACGTGTGTAACGTGAATACGGGGTAGTTTGTTTGCCTTAAAAAGTTCTCTACGAAGTAATTCCTAGGCAGATACCCCTTGTGTGCTTTGCCATATTCAAATAATCATACCTAACTTATTATACTTTCTAAACTTTTAAATTGCTTTCAATGGCTTTAAAACAGCCTTTTTTGTGTGTGGCATAAACTTAAAGCAGCATGGAATGAGATGCCCGTTTCTGTCATCCAAGCTTAGTTTGATTCCATGCCTAATCAGGTAACGGCCGTTTAAGCTGCCAGGGGTGGCAGCTGTTTCTACTAATTTCTCACTCCTGTAAACCCCAAAGCTTCTTGTAAATTTAATTTTGTCTTCATGCCATACTCTTTACGTACATTAAATATAATTTTTGTATTTTCTTTCCTTCGTGCTGCTGCAATTTTAATGGCTAGCGGTGTATTAATAGCAGTTCTAGAAGTCAAGTTCTGCTAGCGAGAAGAAACCTGCAATATGCAGTCATCTCTAATACAGTTCGAATTATTACTCATTACCTCTTTTCTCTCATGAAAATATATCCGCAAAATTCACTTTCAGTTAATTAGTATTACATTTGAACTGCTTAGCGCTGAGGCCTACCAATTCAAAAATACCATCACGAGGCATAGATATTAACAGTTATATAAAGTTTACTTTAAATAATAAGCATGGTCTTATTACACCTTATGCTAAAAAGTAACCGTGTAGCAACAAATCAAAGTGGGAAAAAGTATTCTTTGTTGTGGCGCGTAAACATTTATTATCGTCCGAGGTATATACTAATGTGGAGTCTCAAACATCTTTCGTTAATCACGATAATGGTGTTTATGAGAGTTGTCAATTCGGTGTAATCACTTAATTAGAAATATTATGAATTGTATTAATTGGGCATAGTATTAAAAATAAAATTAATATATAAATGGTTATGAAGTATACAGTTTGCTTTCTAACCACTCAGTAAGTTAAGCAATTTGTAGTCTTAATTTGACAGATAAATTAAAGAAGTTATGCAACTTCAAATGGCAGCGTTTCTGAGAAATGGTAATTTGCCAAGCAGCGTGGGTGATAAATATCTCAGGACATAAGGACTGGCAGCACATGCCAGGCTGCGTGGAAGATAACTACTCTAGCATCATAACGTAACGTAAAGTAAAGGTCGCAAGAAATAAACTAAATTACATATTTTCTAATTTTTAACCAATTCAGTCAGTTTTAAAACTATGCTGATATTTTTGAATAAATTAATTTTTGGATCAAAATTGTCAGAAAAAAAATTAATATTTGAGAAATTAAAAATGAAATGAATAATAAAATGCTTTTAAGCTAGAGTACCTATTTAGTGTTCCAATGTTAACTTCAATAAAATAAAATTTGTTTGTATTAATTACTTCTTGCCTCTTTCGGGAAAATCTTTCAGAATTATAGCGTATAGTTTTAAATGTGTATATCAGATAATTTTTCAGACATTTTGCCACATCAAATTTTGTCAAGTAATTACTGGTGGGAGAAATTTTTAAAAATTATATTGTTAGAGCCAGCATCTTTAGCTTTCTTACGAGAGAGGAATAGGAATGGCCGAAAAAAAAATCAGTTGTAATGACATAGTTCCTTCTTTTTTTTCTGTTTCCAGTATCCATACTGTAACAAGATAGCTGTCTAGAGCCAATGCGCTTTAATCCTCGGCTTGTACAGAGGATTATTTCAGGAAAACCAAAATTAATCCATATAGATTTATTTCCTCATGCTCTATGAACTAAAGTGCATCTTTTTTGCAATAGTTGATTTTTACGCGGTCCATTAGCAACAGCTGTTACAATAATTCAGTAGCAATGAATATTTCACTTTTCAGCAGCTATTAAATACTGCCTTGATCTAAATTATTTCCATTACTGCTAAAGAGCTGTTTCATCTAAAATCTTGAGTTCTTTTAAGATCTCTCAGGAAATCCTAAGAGAAAATTAACATTCCACAAATGACAAGATCTTAACGAAAGCAAAAAAGATTAGAATGAAGTGCAATGCCTAATTTTCAAAATACTTGAAGAAAACACGAAGCCTTTTAGATAAACATCGTAAAGTAATATCCGACTGCATTTGGCAGACGAGCATGGTTGGCAAACCGCCTGTAACTGAATTTTCCGAGTTTCACAAATAGTTATTCGCATTTACGTCTTTGCGTACACTTAAATCTTCTGTGGAAATGAATCTGTTTCTGAAAGAAAATACACAGTTGGATGTCAGAGAAACACGATTGCAGTTAATTGAATTGAGATTTAGGCTGTTTGTAACGTTTAAAAATACATGCGTTATATTAGAGCAAATTCATTTTCCCTGACACATCTAGTAATTTTCAAATACTGTTAACTCTTTCGTAGACTATACTAAAAAAAAAAGGACATTTAATTTCATAACATTGCGTTCTATTTTCTCACTGAAAAAACATGACATATTATGGAAGGCACTGAAATGCATTCCGAGTTGGAATAGATTATAATCAGGGAGAAAATTGCCCCATCGTTCAACAGTCATATTCATTTAGTCTCTTCCGTTACCTTAAGGTATACAACAGCGATGGCCATAGCGTGGCTTGCGGGCTGCGTGCAGCTCTCGCAGGCGAGTGGTGCTGCTCTTAAGTGAATAAAATAGTATGTATATGAAATGTGGTAAACTAAATCTACTTGGTGTCCAA